GTGTGTGTTTGTGTGTGTGGGGGTGTGTGTGTGTGCAGTCTTTAGCTCCTGTGATTGTAACCAGCTGTGCTGTCGACTGGTGGCCTCACTCGTCTCCTGTGTGGATTCCAGTTGAAACGTGCAGACACACACACACACACACACACACACACACACACACTCACGCTCTCTCTCTCTCTCTCAGGTTCCCCTGCACTGTCCCTCTTTCTCAAACACACACTCTCATACACACATATATTCAAACACATACATTTCGGATAACGTCATCTAATGGCAGGAAATTCCTTCACTGGGTATTTTGCCTGTGTTTACATTTAGAACGTTGGTTTGTGAATTATTCCAGTGACAGTTCATCGTTCTCACACGTTCCGTACAGCAGCGTCTTTCCGTACATTTTAAACATCGGAGCGTCACAGCACAGAGTGAAAGTTGTTCTGTGAGAAAGATGCAGCCGGAGGCTCGATTCCTCGGTGACTGATGTGGGTTTCACACTTTTCATTGCTCGGTGGATGTTCATCCAGCAGTGTGGGGTTCTGGAAAATGTTTGGAAGACGAAGAAGAATCTGTTCTTTTTATGGTGTCTGTTTATTTCTATAGTGACTCGTAGCTTAACTTACTCAAAGGTAACAACAAATTCTATTCTGAGACAACGAAGCTCAGTTGAATCTAATGTGACGACAAGACTTAACAACATGTTGCTTCTGACCCGTCCACATTGCAGACAACACGTAATTCCCACCAGGACGAGGTCGCCCTCTGACATGTCGACGTGGTCACGGGGTCAGTTGGCTCGACCGTGCGGAATCGAGCTGCACATGTGAGAGTCAGCCGTCAGCAAACATGATCAATGTGCTTCGAGGTGAGGGTGAACCACGTTCGCCTGCAGAGACCAAACAGCAGATGGAGAACGCTGCTGCTCTCCAGCTCAAATAATAAACTTTATTCATACGGCAGTTTAAAAAAACAAGTTTACAAAGAAAGTGCAGAAAGAGTTCATTTACACAAACGTCCCTTTATTCCCACAGTAGATATCTGGTCTCCTCATCCATAAACAACGCACAGACACACGCACAGACACACACTGTTCCTATAGAAGCAGAGCGTGTGCATGTGAGCTTCCAGACGAACGCTCCTGACTCGGCGTCCTGATCACAGTCAGATGTGGAGAAACCGTCCTCCAGCCACAGAAGAGTCACGTGTCGCCACACCACAATGATGTCATTTCCTTTTAGCGATGTTTACAAATAACCTGTGCCCATGTCACGTCCTGCGAGAGCGGTCCAGTTGTTTTAATCTGGATGTGTTTTATTTGATGTGACATGAATCCACTCAGAGCGGAGTTTGTCTTTCTCGTATGAAGGAGGAGGAGATTCTCTGCTCGGACACGTTCAGACCACAGGAAGGTCTCGGTTGGTGCAGCATGAAGGAGGCGGGACATGACACCGTGCTGTGTCAAGATCAGTGTTGTTGTTTACAGCTCGTCCACACCGGCGTCGGCCCTCATCACCAAAACTTCTGGAATCTCCTCGTCTTTCCAAGTGGACGTCTTCGTCTTCTACGTGCGCGGCTCCTCTTCTTCATCCTGAGAGATTCGCGCTCTTCCAGTTTCACGTCCGTCACGTGTTAGAAACCTCAGAGACACGCCCACTCGCTGTGTTCTCTCATACAGCCGCTCTGGATCATGTCAGGAGATTATCCAGAGCACAATCATCTTCCTCTTCTCCTGAACACCCCGACTCTCACAGATGTGGGATTTCTGTCCGTCAGCGGTGATATTAACACAAACAGCAGAGCAGGATTGCTGCGATTGCCAAGAATGAACAAATGTGCAGGAATTTGTCTTTGTGACCCAGTAACTCAGTGACTCCCCCCCCCTCTCTCTCTCTCTCTTACATTTCCTGCCGATGCTTTGCCTCTGATCCTCCATTTTTTCTCTCCATCTGTTCTTCATTTCCCATTTTCTGCATTTATCTGTCTCAGAGAGAGGTCTTACTTTTGGCCTGCATGCCTCCCTGTGCTCTATAGTTACACCATCCACAGCCACTGACGCCTCTCTGTAAACACGGACGTCGCTGTAGCTGTCGACAGACAGGAGATCCACGTGAGGCCGGTTCAGATCGGAGCCAGACATTTGTCCCAGAACTAAAGTGACTCCAGTTCACGGTGCAGACTGAAGTTAAGTCTCATCATTGGACTCAAGTGGTTTCAGAAGCATCAATAAATCACATAAAATCCATTAAAGTCACAACACACTGACGTGGAAGTGTAGAACTGAACGTCCACCGTCCAAAGTGCCGCAGGTTCAATGTCTCAAACAAACACTCTGCATGTGAGTATCGTGTTTCTTGCGTCACCTCTGTGGTACGGCAACGAAATGGCGAGTATTTGACACCACGCACGGAGGACGAGGGGCCACAGTTAATCACATCAGCCAATGGGGGGGGTGGGGGGGTGGGGGGGGTGGGGTGGGGGGGTTCTGATGAGAGTGGCAGCCAAGGTGCTGCCGTGGTAACTGTTACCAGGTCGGAGCAACAGGGAGAAGTAATTGAGTCCATCGAGTTAAGGGACTTTATCTTTAAGACTCAGTGACACAAACCAACCAAACACGACGTGAGGCTTCATTAGCATCAGGAGGGGGGAGGGGAAGCTCGTGAGCCTCAGATCCAGAGATCAGTCCGACTGTGAACTGTTTTAAAAACCCATGAACCGACTGGTTCACCTGAGCCGAGCCGCCACGTTGATGAGCAGGACAGTCGGTGTTTGTCATGTAAATGTCAGGACACCTCAACTGCCATTCAAATGTATTTGCATCTAATGTAGGTCAGTCAGTCAGTGGGCTGTCTGAGTGTTGAGGGGCAGTGGGGGGGTGGGGGGGTGGATTAGCATAGGGGGGTTTAATGAGGAGCACGACTACAAACGCTCAAACGGCCAGAAGGTTGGCGATGAAGTCTACATAAACGATCCACCCGGTACCAGAGACGAACACTGTGGTCCAAACACTCAGGATGAAACCCGGGATCAAACTCTGTGAAATGTTTGGATTTAAAGGATCAGTGAAGGTCGTAAACCCCGCCTCCTCCATGTAAGCAGATGGGACATGGACCAAAAAAAAAAGAATCAATGTGGACGTTAAATAAAGATGTCTGTCATTTTCAGGTCGTCCTCACTGATGTTTGTTCAAGTGTTTCTGATGATTTAGTTATTTGATGATCCAATAATCTGCAGCTTCACTCATTCAGCTCATTGTTTATCTGTTTCCTGTCCGGCTTCACGCTCCCCGCTTCGCATCGTCCTCTTCTGCTGCAGCTTTACCTTCCAGCACTTCTTAAGTTTTAGAGGAGCGACCAGGGAAATGTTTTTTTTGTAAGCAATTCTGAAAGATTGAAAACTTCTCTTCAGTGTTTTTATGCTTAAAAAAAGAGGCTTAATGCTTCTGTAACTTTGCTGCTTCTCTAACTTTGCTGCTGCTTCTCTAACTTTGCTGCTTCTCTAACTTTGCTGCTTCTCTAACTTTGCTTCTTCTCTAACTTTGCTGCTTCTCTAACTCTGCTGCTTCTCTAACCGTCACGGTCGATGATGACGATGAGGATTTCTGACAGCTTCACCTTTCTGTCTGCGCCAACCAAGCGACTCTGAGAACCCGCATGACTCCGCTGTCACCTCTTAAGACTTTTCAAGACGTATCTGGTTGTTTTTTAAAAACTCTATTATCCATGAGTCACCACCACCACACTGAAGCCTCTGCCAAGACCCCCCCCCCCCCCCCCCCCCCCCCCCCCCCCCCCCCCCTCCAGCTTCACGAGCTCCAACCGTTCGGTTTGTTTATGCTCTGAGTTTGGAGATGGTCAGATGTGTTGGACGTTGCTGGGTGGAACCGCTGAGGGAGATTTTGTGCATTACGGAGGTCAGGTGTCATGTTTGCTGTCGTCCACCTTCCTGGGAGCTCAACGGGGGTTTTATGACTCTGTGCTTTTGTGCGGTGAATTGGATTAAGTGAAGCCTTTGGCCCGTGTGCGCTTCCACCTGAGCAACGACAGGCAGCAGAGATGTAATTGGCTCTGATTGGTCTCCCTCTCTGTCTCCTCGCTTATTAAATGCGAGGTAATGACGTACTGGCTCAGAGATCTCCCTCAGATTACCTGAGAGGTTTTCCACTTTCTGCACTCACTCGCTTAAATTTTTCAGTTTTAGTCCGTTTTGCAGAAGATTCAGTTTCTTGGTTTAATTCAACTCAATTCAGTTTTATTTGAATATCACTCCTCTATAATTAAAGATAAAGACACGTCTCCACATTGTCCCGGCTTCACCCTCTGGACCCGGAGTCTGGGTCCATTTCTATGAACAAGGTTCCTCAACACAAACATAGGTAGACGCAAATATATGATTCTAATAATTCATGTTTGTGTTTCTAACACTTCTTCTCTCTCCTGATCCGCAGACGTACATCGGCTCCATCCTGGCGGCGGTGAACCCTTACCAGACGCTCCCCGGGCTGTACGACCGGCCGGCCGTGGAGCTGTACAGCCGACATCACCTCGGTGAAATCTCCCCGCACATCTTCGCTGTCGCCAACGAGTGCTACCGCTCACTGTGGAAGAGGCTTCAGAACCAGTGTGTCCTCATCAGGTCGGTGGTCATGTTGTTGTCTTGGAAGTTTAATCAACTCACAACCAGACAAAGAAACCTGAAGTAGAAAAGAAGGTTTCTGCATCATCTTCACTTCTCCGACAGGAAATGCTCAGTCAGGGTGTCCACATCTCTCGTGCCACAGTCACACGGAGCCCTCTGATTGGTCGTTTGAATAAAGCGTTGTGGTCTTAAGCTTGTTCAGACGCTCTTCCCTCTGCGTCAAACACTTTGATCGAGGTTCAAGTCCCACGGGCGGTTTGGCCGCACTTCTGAGTGTGACACACACACACACACACACACTGTTACTATCTCTGTCCTCTGCTTTCCTTCCTCACATCCTTCCTCTTTGATTTTAACTGGACGACTTTCACCTCCGCCTTCGCTCCATTGTTTTACCAGAGACGTCCTCGTCCTCCTGACTTGAAAAGAAAAAAGTTATTTTTATATTTTGGAAGCAACACTCGGCACCAGATTCAGCCGGCGGCGGACACAGGAGACGTCGCTGCATTTGACTCCGTGGGAACGTTGTGTTTGGGCCTGAGTACGTGGCCAGTGCACGTCTGTGATTCCTGCGCAGCAAAGAAAATTATGTAAGAACACAGAAGAGACACAATAATACACAAACGTCTTAGACTTTGGATGAATTGAATATCGTTTGTCAGGAAACAACACAATAAAATAAAATAAACTTTTGGAAAGTTTTTAAAATCGAAATATTAATATTATAACTAGAGCCCGACATAAATGTTTAAAACTTTTTACAACATTTTAGGAATCATCGCCAAAAATATTTTTTAATAACAGCCTTTATCACACATTTTTTTAATCCCCAATTTTGGTTTTGACATGAAATGAGTCTGAACTGGTGGAGCTCTGTTTGTTCGTGGAAACTGAGCTCATCAGTTCTCGGCGGTGTAAAGAATCAGGATGGTAAACGTGTGTGTCCTGTGTGGAGTTGTTATCAGATTGATCAGAACAAGAGCCTGAGACGTGCAGGACAGTCTCAGTTTTCTGCTTCAGGCACAAGAGCTGCAATTTCATGTAAATTTGCGGGCATTAGTTTACAGGCCCAGTTTTATTGGCCTGGTGGTTAATGAGACACACATGTTCCCGTGTGAAGGAAGCAGAGAGTGAACAGTGGCTTTTTTTTTTTTTATGCCTTTAATCGTTAATGATTAATTAACAACACAGCAGCTTTCTGCACTGACAGGATTTTCTCCCGTCGTCTCCTGGTTGGAGTCGTCCTCCTGTTCAGGGCACAGAAGGTCCTCTGTTTTCCAGGATGTTGGTCAGTGGGAAGAATATGCACCGCCACACACACACACACACACACACACCGAGGCGTAAACACAAACATGTTGTCATATTGTCGTCTGAGAAATCCCTGAGCTGCACAATACTGCCATTCTCCCCCCGCAGCGACGCGCCGCTGCCATAGATGTGCTTTGTGTTTATCTTGATCTCACGGATTCTTGGTACTTTCCCTGCTGCAACAAGCAGATTCCGCTCCAGAGTTCAGCCGTCGAGAAAAAACAAAAACGCCTAATTTACCACAGAATCTGTAACTTTGAGAAAAAGAAAAACACCAGCTTGGCTGCGTAGTTTTTCCATGACAGCAGCAGCAGCAGCAGCAGCAGCACACGAGGCACTGAAGGCCAGAGAGGACACACCACAGACCACAGTCCTGACCTCTAGCTGTTGTCTCAGCGAAAACACAACCTGATGGTTTACTGTCTGTTAAAATAGAGAAAATGACACAGTGAGCCTCCCAACACACACACACACACACACACACACACACACTGTGGGACCTCATTCTCCGATCGTCTGTCTGGAGATGTTGAGGTTGGACGTTGCGTCTTGTCACAGGAGGATGTGAGGACTCAGCTGGTCACACGGAGATATGAACCATTTTTCAAAGACACACTGACGCCAGCGAGCGACGGGACGTCCCATGCTGACTTGTGATTGGCTCCACCGCTGCACAGACAAATGATGTCACACGCGTGACGCGGCGTTTAGAGCTGCAATCAACGCAAGCAGAACACGCAAGGTCCACGTGGACAAGCCCCTGAACCACCGTGCCGCCCTGCTGCAGGTGTCGCCAGTGAGTGTCACTTTCAAACATGAACCTTTGTGAGTGTTTTACTGCCTCTGAGCTGCTAATCAGCTGTTAACTGTCGCCCTCGAGCAAGGCACTGAACCTCCACCTGCACCAGCTGAGAGAATTAAAAGCAGAGAGACAAACAACAAAGCGTGTAAGTGCTCTGCAGATCTTCCCTGATGCATGAATTGTTAATATAAGAAACCACTTGAGTTTGATGGAGTTGCTCGGACCAGAGGGTGATTGGTTTCAGACTCCGGCTCCTCAGACTCGGGCTCCTCAGACTCCGGCTCCTCAGACTCGGGCTCCTCGCTCTGCTCTGCTGCTGTGGCTGATGGATGTGTGAGGCTGTGAGTAATTGCAGGGCGGAGCAGAGACAGTCAAAGTTTTTTTTACTGCAGAGTGTTTTTCCTGAGGGCTACTGTCCAGCTGTGTGGGCCGGCTGCTGCGCAGGATTTACTGATAGTCCACCGTGATGTTACTGGGAAACAACACGGAGGCCTGAGTCCGCCTCTCCTCTGGGACCAAACTAAATTATATCGTGTTGTCGTGTTGCTTTCGAGTGGACGCTCACAACCTCCTTCTCATTGGCTCTTGTTGGTCACAGAGTACATGTGGCGGAGACT